GTATGTAACTACTTAAAGATTGTATTTTCTCAAGTTTTTATATACATCATTTTATTTTTTTAAATTTTTTTATTGATTTACAATCATTTTACAATGTTGTGTCAAATTCCAGTGTAGAGCACAATTTTTCAGTTATACATGAACATACATATATTCATTGTCATATTTTTTTCTCTGTGAGCTACCACAAGGTCTTGTATATACCATTTTAGGTCAGCAAATAGAGTTGTAAGTTAGCTTGAGAGTATTACTTATAATGGATATGCCATCAGATATTCGAATATCCTCTATGGACATGTGTATTACTCTTAACTTTTTATCAATGACATATATTGCTCTCAATCTTTTATCAATGTTATGCTTAGAATTTTGACTTACTCTAATCCTCTGTTAGATTGATGTACAGAAAGGTTAAGTTTTGTCCAGTAATGTCCTAGGTGTCGAGTTGTCTGATACTGGTGCTAAATTGATTAAATTCATCCAACTTTCAGAGTCACCCTTACTTCCTAGGGGTGTATGCCCATAGAAACCCTACACATGTTCACGGCACTGGACAAATGTTAGTTTTCTCTCCGGCAACATTTGGTAAATTCCAAATTTTGTCTCTCTCCTGTAGGTCCCTGAATGATCAACATATTCTTCCTTTCTGGGTGGACCTTTGTTCCGTGTTTGACTCAAACAGGAATCTGACATTTCTGGACATCAGTCAGAGCTTCCTTAGTACCTCATCAGTGAGGGTTCTTTGTGAAAAAATAGCCTCTGCTGCCTCAAGTCTCCAGAAAGTGATGTAAGTAGAAGCCAGGTCCTGACTTAGAACCCCTGGGGCATGACCGAACGCCTTACTTTTTTTATTATTGGTGCAATACTTGAATTCCTGTCCCAGACTCCAACCAGGCACTCGACACACAGGGAATTGCTTGGGGTCTGAAATAGCTGCATAGTTACAAGGGAAGATGCCTTGAGAGCCTGCAGTTGCAGCTGGCAGGCGTTGTTCTGAATGCAGCTGGTGGTGTCCTTGGGGGTCCAGTTCAGAGAAAGGGCAGGTTCTCGGTGATGCAGCGGCTTGTCTGAAACCAGCTCCTCGATGGCTGCCTGACTCTGATTTTGGATATCTGAGCTGTGACCACTCCATTATAATTTCCGTTTGTCCTCAAGGACATAGCGCTCGTGAAATGTGCCCACTGCTAACACTTCAGGGAAAAGAGATCCTGCCATTCCTTACCGCTCTCAAAAAGCCGTGGAGGAACAGCCTTTGTCTGAAGTGACTGCTTGTGACTGACTTTCCTTTTGCACAAATGAGATGACTAGAGAAATTGGAGCCTCCAATCATTTCTAAAATGAGATTTTAGTCAAGTAGCACAAAGTTCCAGCTACGCAGGATAAGTTCTGGAGACCTGATGTACTACAACGTGATGGCAGTTAACATTACTGCATTGTATACTCGGAATTTGCTAAGAGGGTTAATTTTAAGTGTTCTCACCATGAAAGAAGAGAAGGGAACGGTAACTATGTGAGGTGATGGCTGAGTAAACTAGCTTGACGGCGGTGATGGATTTCACAAGGCACGTGTATATCAAAGCATGACGTCCTGCACCTTAAATATACACAATTGTTTTTTGTCAATAAGACCTCAACAAAGGCAGAAAATATGAAAAAATCATTTCTAACATTTAAACACATTGCAGCTCTTCGTTTTCTATGTATGCAATATAAGTATGGAAACTCAGCATCTCGCCTCCGTCTTCTTCTCCCTAGCCTCAAAAATCTCTCCCCAGCTGACGCTTACCGGAACATCTGCCTCGCTTTGGGAGGTCTTGAGACTCTAACACATCTGACCTTTCAAGGAAATGACCAGGACGATCTGCTTCCCCCGTTGTGTGAGGTCTTGAGGCACCCAAAATGCAATCTGCAATATCTCAGGTAAAGTTATCTCACCATTGCTGAAAACCCTCAGCATAGGAACAGAGCTGCCACAAGCCTGTACAGCAATTCTGTGTAAATCAAAAAAAAAAATCCCTTACCGTGATTGGACACAGTACTACTTAAGGCACATGTCCAAGAACAGAAAATGAGCTAGAGCTTAGTTTCCGCTTGCATTGATCGTTGGACACCTGCACGACCATACGTAACGTCCCTGAGTCCAAATGCACATGATGTTCCAATGAAGGTTCATTTGCTCGTGATGAAGAATATGTATCTCCAGGAATAGAATATGGGTACTATGTTGCACAATATGCTTGACTGGCTGGACTTCTAGATAAGTGGTTCTTAATGTGTGGTCTCCAGACCAGCAGCAGAAGCAGCGCCTGGGAACTTGTTAAAATCCAAATTCTTGGGTCCCAGCCAGATCTTCTAAATCAAATTCTGGGTATATGGCCCAAAATGTGGTTTTAATGCATCTTCCAGGTGATTGAAAGACACCTTAAAACGAGGGTCACGCTACATCCAGAGTTTCTGAGGGTTTGCGTTTCTGGGTGGCTGCCAGGTGGTGCCGATGCAGCCGGCCCAGGGGCCACACTTTGACAAGCACTGCTCCCGAACATTTAGTCCGGAATTAACATAATGGGGTGAGAGAGAAAACAGGAGACAGTCGTGTACCTGCTGCTTGGTTCTCGTGAATGCCTTGTTACCATTTCTCCTGCAGGCTGGCATCGTGTTCTGCCACCACTGAGCAATGGGCCACTCTCTCCTCCTGCCTCAAAATCAGTCAGTCCCTCACATGCTTGAACCTCACAGCAAACGAGTTCCCAGGTGAGGCTGCCAAGGGCCTGTGCAGGACGCTGAGCCACCCGAAGTGCTTCCTGCAGAGGCTGTCGTAAGTCTCCTCTTCCTCCCCGTGGAGCATCTCCGTTGTGGGTCTAGGGTCACACAGAGAGGAGCAGCGCTAAGACCTGGATTTGCTGGCGACCAGTAGGGAACCTCCCACTGACGTAGACACCTGGGTCACATTTTTGGTCCCAAGCAAACGGCTCCTGCATCTCATCCTTCTCTCGTTCCTGCTCCTTTATGACCGTGACCACTAGCACACAGTCGAGAGAGGGCAGAGAATCAACAAGAAGGGGTGTAGCTGAGGACTCTAGTCTTTGAAGACAGCCACAAAAGCTGGGTTTTAAAATGTTCTCACCATCTTACCATTTGTGTGGTGCTGTTGCAGGTTGGAAAACTGTCACCTTACAGAAGCCAATTGCAAGGAGCTGTCTTCTGCTCTGATTGTCAGCCAGAGACTGACCCACCTGTGCTTGGCAAAGAATGCTCTTGGAGATCGTGGGGTGAAACTCCTGTGTGAAGGCCTGAGTTACCCCGAATGCCAACTGCAAACCCTGGTGTAAGTCCGTGCTGGCTGTGTGTGTGTGTGTGTGTGTGTGTACATACTGGACTCAAGTAAGACAGTTGCAAGTATTTAATAATCCCCCTGACTACCCCAAGTAGGATGCTGATGGTCAGATCTGGTGAGACTTGGGGAGAGGGTGACAGAAAAAAATGGATAATCTAGGATCCAGGACCAGGTATGCCCAGAACCAGTGGCCTCCACCTCTGAGATACTGTCCTGTTAGTTACTCGATTCAGGAAACATAGTTGGTCCCATCCCCTAACAGAAGGCGGCAGGCCAAGGCAAGGCGGCGTTCCCTGCCCCACAGTTAGGGCGAGGGTAACCCACACCACCTGCGTTTGCTTCCGGGAGAGACTGTCACAAACCGAGAAGCTTAAGGCAAATCATTATCTTAAAGTTCTGGAGGTTAGAAGTCCAAAATGGGTCCCCTGGGGATAAAACTGAGATGTGGGCAGGGCCGCGTTCCTGCTGGGGGCTCCGGGGGGGGGGCCCATTTCCTTACTGTTCCAGCTCTAGAGGCTGCCTGCCTCCCATGGCCTGTGGCCCTTTCTCCATCTTCAAAGCCAGCGACGTAGTGTCCTCAGATGTCCTCTGTCTCCCTCATCACATCTCCCCCTGCTGGCTTTGGCACTCTTGGCTCCTCATGAGAATCCTTGTGGCAACATTCAGCCCCCTGGCTGATCAGCCCGTCTCCAGATCCTTACGAACCACACCTGCCGAGTCCCTGTCACACGCAGTGTGACATGGTCACAGGGCCAGGGACTAGAACACGGACGTCCTTGGGGGTGGGGAATTATTCTGTCTACAACACAGCGCCGTGATTTGACTCCCCTGCCTCCGCCGTCGCTGAGCTTGTCCAAAGCCCACGGCTGGTGCTGGACGCGCGCGGTTCTAGTGCGTCCCACTGGGGACGGACGACAGCGTGTCTTCTGCATGCGGTTGATTTCTAGGCTGTGGTGCTGCAGCATAGCCTCTGGTGGCTGCTTTCATCTCTCGAAGCTCCTCCGACAAAACTCACGACTTACACACTTGGATCTGGGGCTGAATCACATAGGAATTACTGGACTGAAGTTTCTGTGCGAGTCTTTGAAGAAGCCACTGTGCAACCTGAGATGTCTGTGGTAAGTCACCGTTTCCTGAACTTCAGTCTGTATCTGAAATGAACTGTCAGCGTAGCCAACCCCCTCCAGCTCCAGTAAAAAGGACTGGAATAAATCCAATTGAGTACTTTTAAAATCCACTAGGTCTCTGCACTCTCATGTTCACAGCAGCATCCTTCACAATAGCCAGACTGAGCTTTGTCCAGTCAGCTCTAACTTTCTGGCAGTATAATCTCAGTTATGCGTTCTAGGAAATATCCATGAGAAAAGTTGGATATGATAATGAAATGTGTATGCATGTTACTCAGCAGTGTGTCACGTGGTGTGCTAAATACTGAGACATTTAACTTCCAAATCTTGGTATGAACTTAAATGCATGGTCTAAGCTCTCATCTCATGTATGTGTCTGTGTAAGTGTGTGTATGCACATATGTATGCAAACCCTTTGAACATTTGTACAACCCCTTGTTTTCTGTCCTCTGCCCACTCAACAACTCCAGGTGGAAGACAGCTTTCCCCTCTCTGCTGCAGGCATCCGACATCCAGGTTCACGCTTCCTCTGGGAATTCAGACAGGCAGAGTTTAGATGTCTGTCCAAAACCCAATTGCTCTCTTTCCCTGGCCAAAGCTGCTCCTTCGGCAATCAAAACATTATTTTATTTACTCAGAGCAAAATCCTTTATGGTCATCTTTTTTCCTTTGTCCTTTCAAATATCAAGTCCAAGCCTTTTTGAAAGCCTGTTACCCTCCCCCTCCAGATAATCAAAATCTGTTCTCATGCCCCCCCCACCACACACACAGTAACATCCAGGTTCTCGGTGGGCTTCAGACTTGTCTGTGTCTGCCGCTGTACAGTTTTTCCAATCAAGCAGTAAGAACAACTTCCCAGAGTGAAAAAAAGAAAGTGAATGAAAGGCCACAAATGGCAAAACATCCTTTCTTATGGGCGAGCTGTACACATATGTGCTGTGTCGTCTTTACCCATTCATCTGTTGATGTGCACTTAGGATGCTTCCATATCTTGGCAACTATAAATAAAATGTTGCTGCTAATAGCAGGGTGTGTGTATTTTTTTGAATCACTTCTTATTTTTTGGCTGGCTTTATTCCTTTGATAACTATGTAAGTTTAAAAAGCTAAAGCTCTAAACGTTCTTAGAAACAATGAACGATCAAAACTCTCAATGGTTCCCACTCTTTCCAGGTAGAATCTGAAGTTTACAGTGGCCTGAGGGCCTGATTGAGGCCGGCTCCCTCGTATCTGTGACCTCTTAACTGCCTCACCCGGCTCACTCTCTGGCTGTCTGCCTTGATACTGTTTTACATGACGATCACATGCAACCTCAGGGCCTTTGTGCAAACTGTTTCTCTGCCTGGGGGATTCCTACTCTGGACCTCCCAGTGGTCCATTCTCTTCACTCACTCAGGTCTTCCTCCACCGTTGCTGGGAATGCCCCTAGCTGCTCCCCCCACCCCCTGCCCTCCGTAACCCTTATTGAATATGGCACACTGTACACGTCTGTTTCCTGTCATTAGATGGATTCTGGGGGAAGAGACTTCTGTTGTTCATGGTTGGCGCCCCAACACCGAGAGCGTGCCTGGCATAGCGGACGGTGTCAGTAAGTGTTGGTTGAATAAATTGCTTTGTGTGTTTCGCCTACAGGTTGTGGGGATGTGCCATCTCCCCCGTCTGCTGTGCGGACCTCTCATCTGCCCTTCAAAGCAATCAGAACCTGATCACTCTGGACCTGGGCCAGAATTTCTTGGGCTACAGTGGGATAAAGATGCTGTGTGATGCCCTGAAACTTCAAAGTTGCCCCCTCCGGACAGTCAGGTATGATCCTCCTTCTCCTCAGCGTTTTCTCCGTGCTTGTAGGTTTGAGGGGAGCACAGACTACAGGAATCTGTCGCAGGCATTGGTGCTAACGTTCAGCTTCCATCTGTTGATGTCTGGTCACGAGACTGTTCTCCCGTAAGTTCTTTCTGGTGTTGCGGCAGGTCAGGTGAGTCAAAGGGTGAGACCAAAACTCAGTCTGAAGCCAAGAAGCTGGGTCCAGGGCTTAACTAAGTGAAGGAGAGTTGCGGCAGCCAGCCGGCGTCTCATTAGGGAAGTGAGACTGCAGGCCTGACCTGGTGCTTCTGGGAAGAGCGCGTCTGCAGCTTACAGAGGTCCGGCGGGTCAGCGCAGCCTTTGGCGTGTGTTCTCTGCAGCGAGCCTGCTATCTGATGAGACTAGCCTGTGATCACAGGAATCATCCCCAGTTTTCAGCCTCTGCTTGTTCTTCAGAGCAGGTTGTCCTCGAGTTTTGTTGTTTACTTCCTGCCATTGTCCCAGGTCTCAGCTGAGTCCCTGGGATGTACCCCGCCAAGTGTGGGTCCTTGGCTTCACATGGGAGAGAACTCAAGAGCGAGCCACAGCTGAGTAGAGGTGGATTTATTCAGAGAGACTATACTGCGTAGTGCGCAGGCTGTTTCAGAGGGCGAGAGAAAGGCCACGAGGCGTGGGGGTCAGTGCTCAGGTGACAGTAAAAGCAGATACACACTCCACAGACAAAGTGCGGGCGTCTCCAAAGACAAGGGCGCGAGAGAGGCAGCCACAAGGCGCGCTGTTGGCAGTTTTTATGGGCTCAGTAGCTTCACACACCAGCAAGTGGGAGGCCCATTCCAACCACCCTGGGAAGGGGCTGGGATTCCCAGGAATCGGGCCACCGCCCACTCCTTGACCTTTTATGGTCAGCCTTAGGACTGTCGTGGCGCCTCTGGGCATGTTGTTTCTCATGCTAATACATTACAATGAATGTATCATGAAGCTCAAGGTCTACTAGAAGTCAAGTCTCCCGCCTTCTTGAGCTTCCAGGTCTACTGGGAGTTGAATCTTTCAACCTTTTCGGTATTAATTGCAGAAGGAATGTGTAGACACTGAAGTTTTTTTTCCTAACCCCTTCCTTGAGAATTAGCCCTCTCACTTTAGAGAATATCAGTGAATTTCAGTCAAGACGTAAAGCCCCCACAAAGACACCACTGGAGCTATTTCTTTAGATCAGCCAGTCAGACATTCCTTCCTGCTCATCGAACCTCAAGATGAGTGATTCAGGGTGCGGGCTTCTTCCTGAATCACAGATCCTAGAAAGGCACAAACGCCCTGGACCTGCCCTTGGAGAGTCTGGCTTTTAGTTCTCTTATTCTATCAGCTACCCCATGTCCTTCTGATGAGCCCTTCTAAGTCTAAGTAGTCGTTTTCTCTTACTCGAGGCTAAAGAACCCCACCGTCACACCTCGTCCTTACAGCAGCTTATTTATAGCTCCTGGGCTGGTTCTTTCCATCCCGTTTCTGATTCCTTCAACACTTTTGACCACAGATCTACCGTGGAACTATTTTTGTTCTCTGCCACAGACTGTGACCCATCTCTGACAATCATGAATGAAGACAGTTATGTTTGATCTTGAAAGGTCATAGTTTAAAATATTTTGAAGCTAGTTGGCCCTTATTTTAACCAAAGTTACGTTGATTGTTGACCAGGCACCTGCTCAGGCTAGCTTAAGTTTGCACAGGTGTATTGAGTTAGGGGGTGAGGTTTCTTGTAGCTTTACTGAGACGTGATTTACAAGTAAAAATTGTATATATTTATGGTGTATAATGTGATGTTTTGATATATGTATATATGATGAAGTGATTACCACAAGCAAGGTAATTAACACATCCATCACCTCACATAGTTACCTTTTGTGTGTGTGTGGTGAGAACATAGAAGATCTACTCTTAGCAAATTTCAAGTATACGATACAGTATTATCAACTGTGGTCGCCATGCTGTATGTTAGATCTCCAGAACTTACTCATTTTATACCTGAAGGTTTGTTGTATGGATGTATTGTGACTCTCAAACAACAGAACAGATGTGTGAATATGTTAGTAAAACCATGACTATGATGCCAAAAAGAAACATGGCAGCCAATATCCCTGGTTTTACACATATTTTTGCTTTAATTATTCCCCCTCCCCTCCCACTCCCCATCTCCACGCACACGTGACTGAGTATGGTTACCAGAAGGTAAATCCTAGCTATGAGGCTGCTCTCATCACAGGTCAAATACAGGGTGGCAATTACCTAGTAACTCGTGGACAAGGAGCATAAGAAGTTAATCCCACTGACTTGGTTCCAACGTGTATGCCTCTTCCTGGATCCACCATGTGGAAGTTGCCAAAGTGAGTTATGGAGTGGATAGGGGTTACAGCTAAATCATAGGCGTATTTTTCCATCTCCAATGCCAATTATGATATGATAATCACCCAAGATCATCCAGGCATCCAAAGCTACTCAGTGGCTTTACACCATTCTGGCGCTAACCTGGTATTCTGTTCTTCCCTATCAAATGGATATGGAACTCCGCTTTGCAGCAGACAATAACCAGTAAAGGCGGCCTTTCTTCTGCAAATTCCTAAAGCATGAAACTTGCAGGCACTTGAGCATTTGGGATGAATCTCCTTGAAACAATAAGAAACCTCCCACCCTGCTTCTACCCCTAGATTGAAGATAGATGAGTCTGTCTTTCGAATTCGGAAGCTGCTAGAAGAAATAAAGGAAAGCAACCCACAGCTGACTATTGAGAGTGATCATCAAGGTCCAAAACATAGCAGACCTTCTTCTCGTGACTTCATTTTCTGAATCTCCCTGGAGTTACTGATTCTCCAATAAAGTCCTGGATCGTCAAAGTGATGGTGAACTTCCCAGGAGCCCTCTCAGTGATGTTAGTTGCTGGGCCAAATATTATTTCAGCCACGGTTGTGCCTCTGACTTGCATAAAATGTACACACATCACAACTCTATTGTGGGTGAAATGTCTATATCTTGGGTATATCAAGAGAAATAAAGGTGAAAGCATGCATGAAGTCTTAGTTATTGATGGATTCTGACCAAATGTAAAGAAAAGATAATTTGGGTAGAACTTAGCCCAAGGGGGAAAATGGGACAGGAATGTTTGTGAGCACATTGATCTCTGTTTGCCTTGGCCAGTCATTGCCCAGTTCCAGTATTTCTTGATCTGCATTGATAGCTGCCTGAGAAATCATCCTTATCAGAGCATTTCTCCTACCAATCCCACAATATTTTGTAGCCCTCTTAGGTGCTTCAAGTATGATCATGTCATTGCTCTGATTAACTTTTTCATAATTCTGCCTTTCCCTACAGAAAACACAACTTCATCGTATGCATAGCTATTCCTCATCAAATCTCCAGTACCTCCTTCTGACATACTGAATCCCCAAATTCCTTAAAGCAACAGTGTAAGAATTACTTTTGTATTAAGCACTAATTTAAAATTTTTTCTTCCAATCCTACTTTCTCCTATCTCTTCTTTGGGCCCTATCAGTTCATCATTCTCACCAAATATACCACATTCCCAGACATCACCTTCAAGTCACCCTTCAACGTGCTCCATCATTCCAGCAACATCACTGCACACAGTGTGGGCTCCTGGGGTTTCCTATAAGTTTCCTTCTGTTCCTGTATCAAGGCTTCTTGTTCAGCTGGATATAAGTCATTCCTAAGGCATCACCGTTCTCAGGTTCTGAGGGGTGGGTACCTTTAGTGGAAGCAGGTGGGGTTGTTAAAAGAAAGAGAGGCACGTAAATTTTTTAAGCTAGAAGAGAATTTAGATGTCTTATATTCAAGGGCTTCTCAAGGTCTGCAGTCATTTGGGGGCAGGTAATTCCTTGTCACCTTAAGTGTATCTATAAAGAGTATGTATGTGCTTGGTGACAGATTGTCTTGTGCATTTTGAGGGTGTTAGTAGCACCTCTACCCTCTACCCACTAGATACCAGCAACTCCCTCATAGCTGTGACTACCAAAAGTGTCTCAAGACATTAGCAAATATCCCCTGGGGTGCAAAGCGCTCCTAGTTTGGATTCCTGTAATCTGCTGTAATCTAGCCCAGCCTCTTTAAGGGGTAAGAAATTGAGTAACCTGTATACACAAATTTAGGGACGGATACTGACTATTTCACCTGTAAGTTGAAAAGGCTCTCGGAGTGTGGTCATTGATGGTAGAACAAGACAGGAGAAGGATAGGACCATAAATCAGTTAAACCAGAGACCATGTCTTTGGGGGAAAAGACATTTGGGACCAAGGAACAAGAGAAGGGCATTCTTAGGATGGGGAGATGCGATGGGGCAAGACTTGAGTTTGCACACATGTAACCAAATGTTTCTGGTTGCCCATAACTGCAACTGGAGAACAGGAAAAAATTAACTCTCAACATCCCCTTCCCCATGGAAAGACTATCTGCCTCATCCATGTATCTTGGATGCCCAAATTATTCCCACCCACCTTACTTACACATTGTATGTTTGGAGCTGTGGTAAATATACATAACATAAAATTTACCTCTAGTGACATTTAGTACATCCACAAAGTTGTGCAACCATTACCACTGTATGGTTCCAGAACAGTTTCATCACACCAAAAGATGGAGAAAACCCAGCTGTCCATTACCAACGACTAAGTAGACAATCTGTTTTTAATGCACCTTTACAAAGAGCAGTTGACACACACCATGTGCACAGGAAACTGTATTTATCACTAGTTTATCTCCAGGGCTGATTCTCTCCTGACCTTTTAATAAGTATTGACATCCCAGTGGCCCATTAAATGCAAACTTGCTCACAACTAAATTCACCATCTTTCTCCAAAGTGTGTACCTTTTCCTCTGTTCCAGCCACACCCTCAGAGGCACAGTTATTACCCACAAGAAGTGCTAGAATTAAAGCTGAGACATGGGGGGCACAGAGGTTCCTGTATGTCTGTGAGTTTGCATGTGTCAGGAGGCAAACAGGTTCAGCTGTCCCTGTTCTTAGCATTTCCTCCCTGTGACTACCAGCCGCAGCCCATCACTGAATTCTGAAAATGCGGCTCAGTTCCATAGAAGCATTATTTCACATCTGCTCTAAGTTTAGTCCCACTGATGATCAGGAACAAACAATTCACCTTACGTTCTTTAATAAGGTGTATGGAAAAGCCATCCTTCCACAGTTCCACCCCCCCCCCCATTTACTGACACCTCAACAGACAGCCACATCTGCACCCTGGGGGGTCACGGGGCCTAGAGTAGCCCAGGTGGTGGGCTTAGGCGTGTTGCTGGGGGGAAATAAGAGCCAGAGGTCACAGCAGCCTGACCCCTGCTCCACCCCTTACCTCCAAGCCTCACCTGCAGGCTCCTCCCAGACGAAGCCACACTTTCTCACTTCCCACCTATCCCAGAAAGGTAAGCTATTTGTGCGGGCCCCAGGAAGAGTTTTGGGAGGAACTCATTCTCCTGTGCCAGGATCTTCTGGCTCATCTACAGTTCTGGGAGAAAGACTTCCATGAGGGACACCTGTTTTCACGAACCCCAGTCCCAGACCAAGCCCTGGGTCCCCAGTTTCCGTGGTGACCGTGTGGCTCCCTCTCTTGCTCGAATATTCCCTGAGCCCTCACCCAGGCTTCTCTCACCACTCCTGAGACAGGGAGGCACAGACAACCTGAACGTCAGGGCACTCGGCCTGGGCTGAACGGTGTCACTACTGTGGAAGTCAAA